CTCTCCCACTCCCCCTGCTTGTGTTCCCTCTCTCGCTGTGTCTCTCTCTGTCAAATAAATAAATAAAAATTAAAAAAAAAAAAACAAAAAAACAAAGAGATCCACTTGCAAAAACTTTCTTACTAACAGAACCACAATTCTGTTTGATGCTGCAACTACATTTCTCAGTCCCCCTAACAGAGGCAGCCGAAAACACACCTGGCAATTAAGATATAAATAGAATGGACTGAGTAGGGCTTCCACAAAAGCTTCTAAAAGGGTAAAGATCCAAATTTCAAACCCCTATATCCCATATCCCTACTTGGAACTTGAAACTAATGAGTAGAACTTCAACCACCACTGATGTGGAGAAACTAAGTATGGCTGAAAAGACCAAAACATATCTTCAGACTTAAAAAGAAAATACATCTCTATTCTATTTAAACCATTGTTTGGATTTTTTTTTTTTTTTTTTTTAATAAAGATTTTTTTTTAAGATTTTATTATTTCACAGAGAACAAGCAGGGGGAGCAGCAGGCAGAAGGAGAAGCAGACTCCCCACTGAGCAGGGAGCCCGATGCAATACATGGCCTGATCCCAGGGTCCCCAGATCATGACCTGAGCCAAAGGCAGATGATTAACCAACTGAGCCACGCAGGTGCCCCTATTGTTTGGAATTCCATTATTTGTGTCTGAAACTAAACCTAACTCAGAGTTATTACAAAAATTCAATTAAGTCAATTAACATAAAAATATTTTAAATATTTATGACAACTGCATTAATTAAAAATTTTTAACAAATCAGTAAGATGAAAAACCCAATGTAAAATTTAGAAGAGGCCCAATCTCATTATAATTGAATATACAGAAAAAAACAAAAACAAATAACGATTTTCACTTAGTTAGGCTGGAAAAATTTTAAAAGTCTGATGATAATCAGAGTTGGTTAGTAGGTAATAACTATTAAAATTTAAAATGCATGTTTTTCCTATCTTAAAAAAAACCGTCCCTTTACCTTACTTCCCTCTCAATCTACCCACCCCATTTGTCTTTTCCTTCGCTGCAAAATTTAACAAATATTTCAAAGCCCCCTTCTCTAATTTAGTACCATCTACATATTCTTGCTAAAAATTGGGTTTCATTCTCCCTCAGTCTACT